TAACTTTACTCTCGAATCGATCAAGAGGTTCCCGTTGAGTACAACGGACGTAGAGGGTGCTAATACCTTCCCTTTGCGTAATCGACTCCCGAACCTAGAATATTGGTTGCGATGACCATGTTCTTATCCCTCTTAATGGTTTTATTGATATTTTCCTATTCCGTCCTTGGAATGAATAAAGTTCGGTGGCGACTCTGTTTCGAACAGTATTTTCCGCGTCCATCGCGAGGATCGTATTTTTCGAGGTACGACAGTTCTTCATATAAGATTCTCACTAAATCCTTCTTAACATTTTCAATCCAATCTCATTCCTTAAGCTCATCTATGATCACGTCCCTGCTGATCACTACTTGCTTGTTCACAGGGTCAAATAACTTGTATCCTCCAATCGAATGACATCCTATCAGGATCATCTGACTTGACTTGTCATCAAGCTTTCTTCTCAACTGATTTGGCACATGTCTATGTGTTATTGATCCAAACACCTTCAAATGAATTATGCTAGACTTGACACCAAACCAACATTCTTCTAGCGTGATTCCTTCTAGCTTCTTCGTCAGACATCTATTCAAGATATATGTTGCAGTTGACACAACTTTCCCCAATAATTCTTTGGGTAGATGCTTTCCTTTTAACATGTTCCTCACCATATTCACAATGGTTCTATTCTTTCTTTCTGTAGTTCCATTCTGCTGTGGAGTGTAGAGTGACACCATCTCATGTGCAATCCCTTCTTTCTCACATAATGCATCAAAATCTTTTCACATACTCTCTACCACCATCAGTCTTCATAATCTTTATCTTTCGATCACTTTGTCTTTCGACCATAGATTTAAATTTGGAAAATACCTCAATCACTTCACTTTTCTTCTTGATCAGGTAAGTCCACAGTTTTCGACTGAAATCATCTATGAACGTGACAAAGTATCTGTTACCTCTAATCCAGTCCACCTCGATAGGACCATATACATAAGAGTACATGACTTCAAGAATTGCCTTCGAGTTGCTTCTTATATCCTTGCTGAAGCTATTCTTGTGTTGTTTCACTTGAACACATTCTTCACACACTTCACTTGGAATGTCAATTTCTGGTAATCCTGAAACCATATTTATTCTCTTCAAATATCTAATGTCTTTGAAATTGAGATGGCCAAGTCGATAATGCCATATCCATTCATCTCTGCGGGCTGCATTTGCAAGGCACTTATGCTCCATCACATTAACTTCAATCTTTAATGTCCTATTCTGAGACATTGGAGCCTTCAAGATCAACCTACCACTTGCATCGAGAACTCTCATCATCTTGTCTTTGATAGACACCTTGTAGTTCTTTTCGACCAGCTGCCTTATACTGAGCAAATTACTCTTCATGCCTGATATGTACAATACATTGGAAATTGTTGACTTCTTGCCATCTTTCCTCATAGTCATAACATTGCCAATACCTTCAGCTGCTAGAGTATTGTTATTTGCAAACTTCACCATATTCTTCGTTGAGGGCTTCATGTTGATAAATCAATCTTTCTTACCAGCCATGTGTTGAGCATCCTAAGTCCAAGTACCATTGATCCTGGAATCTTTCTTCATCTCTTATTTAACCATTAGCAACATCTCTTCTTCTTCATGTTTCGTCAACTTTGCATCAGTTTCTTGATTCTTCTTCTTTTCTTGACACTCACTAAAATAGTGACCATACTTCTGACAATTGAAACACTGAATGTGACTTTTGTCAGGCTTTCGACCACCACCTATTCCTTTACCTACAACACCACCGCTTGGATTGCCTTAGTTCGAGGGTTTTCTCTGATTTGACCAGTTTCCTTCATGCTGATTTCGACCAGTCGAATTGTTGTAGCCTCCTCTACCTTTATTTCCATACCAACTTCCTTTGCCTTTCTTTTCTTTTTTTGACTGTACCTGCAAAGCCATATCACTCTTCGAATTTCCTGCAGCTCTTTCAGTCATCCTTTGTTCATGAGACTCAAGCGTCCCTTGAAGCTCTTCCTTCGTCAATACTGACAAGTCTTTCGACTCTTCTAGGGATACTACCACGTGGTAGAACTTTGGAGCCAATAACCTCAAGATCTTTGCAACAACTGATCTTGATGTCAACAATTCTTCATATACCTTGATTTGATTCACTAGCTTTGTAACTCTAGTGAAGAAATCTGTTATACTTTCACTTTCTTCCATCTGAAGCAATTCATAGATTCTCTTGTGAGTTTGTAACCTCACCTCTTTCACATTCTCTGCTCCTCCAAACAATTTTTCAAGAATCTGCCACACTTCCTTTGCTGATTCTACATCACTAACCTTTTCAAAATTATCTGGATCAACATATTAATGGATTATAAAGAGAGCTTTATAATCTTTCTTTTCAATTCTTTGTGTGTGGCCTTTTCTTGATCCGTCGCGTTCTCTGCAAGCGGTGCTACTCCTTTCTTCACAAGATCTCAAAGATCTTGATAACAGAAAATCACTTTAATTTGCTTGCACCAATTCTCATAGTTATCTTTATTGAGAATCATAAGGTTTGTCGAAAAGTGCCTGTTTAGATGATTCATCGCCATCACGATTTTCCTTCCTTTAATCGCAATCGGAGCTCTAGATACTAGATGTTGGAATTCAACCACAACCTATGGAGAATTTCACTCAATCTTGATCTCAAGATTGTTATCAATCACGTAATGACAATGAAAAGAAAAGGTTGAGAAAGAAAGTAACGTTGGAGAAGAAGATGAAAAATTCTACAGAGTTCTCTCTGCCCACAAACTGTTGAAATTCTTATTTACTTGCAACTGTAAACTGTAAATACAATATTATGAGTTATGTTTACAAAATAAGAGTTTCTCCCTAGTTATAAATTTATGTTATCTTGCACCCCAAGCCAAAGCACAAAACTATAAAAGCTCAAAAATAGCTAACATTACTAAAATAGGCATAAGTCGAAATCCTGTGTGAAACAACTTGCTTTGACACTTTGACATACTAATAAAACTCGACACACAAACATTAGGTAATTAGACTAATCCTTATTTCTGTCGAGCTACACTGCTTCGAAACAATGAATTACAAACTCAACACACAAAGGGCTGTTTTTCGAAGGTTATTAGATGTAAACTAGGAGATGGTCAGACAATTCCTTTTCGGACCGCGTGTTGGTGTGGAAATATCTTATCCTTTTTTTATTCCCTGCACTATTTGCGGCTTTTGTTATTAAACTTGATGTTGTTAGTGAGTTTGGACATTGGGAAGATTCCATTTGGCATTGGAACTTGGTCTGCAATGTGAATGAGGGTGGGGATGATTTACAGCAGGAGCTGACTAATTTAAAGTTGTTGTTGCAGGATATCCAACTGCAGTGGAACATGTCAGACCGATTTATTTAGCCTTTAGGAAACTGTGGCACATTTTCGGTTTCGTCTTGCTATCGAGGCATTACGAGAACATTATATGAATCTAGTTTTGTGAATAATTTTACACCTTCTATGGACCTCATTTGGTGTTCAAAAACTCATTTGAAGGTGAAAATCTTTGTGTGACAAATGATGTTGGATGGTTTACCAACGCGTCGAAATTTGAGCTATAGGGAAATTATCACTAATGACCATGAAAAGGCTTGTGTCTTTTCTTTTAGAAGTGATCAAACCAATAATCACCTTTTCTTTTCATGTCCTAAAATTATTCTAGTTTGGAGGAAAATAACTATTTGGTTGGAAGTTTCTTGTTTGATGGAAAGTGAATGTCATCTTCATCTTATTGAATGGATGCATTCGATTAAGGAGAAATTGAAAAAGTCTGATGTTGAGTTAATTTGATTTGTTTCTTATTGGTGTATTTTGTAGTTTAGAAACCAAATTATTTTCAATTACGAAGTTTGTAATCTGGATGCTATATTCAATAGAATTGTGTTGTATTCTTGGTTGTGGATGCATCTCACTAATAAAAAATTTCTTAGGTGCTCCTTCTATGATTGACTCAAACACCCTATGTATTTTTTTAATAATTTTTTTCCTTAAAAATTGAGTTGTTTGCATAGAATATTATTTATTGGGTTAGAGTACCCCTAATATTCTCTATCAATATACTTATAATTATACTTCATTATACTTGATTATAAAAAACAATGGTGTTCAGTTTAATTTTATGCCTGTTGAAAAAATATTGTTAGATTTGTTTGAAAAATTGTTTGGCGAAAAACATAAATTATTATAAAATTAATAATACAAATTTTTAGAGAGGAGTCCGACCTAAATTTTCTCTTACACATTTTATAGAATCTATATAATTAAAGTATTCATATTTTGTGATTACTAACTCTCTAAATTATTTAATATTAATTTTTAAAATCTTTAGAGTGGACCACTGAGATTATAGTAGAATTCAAAGTTAAGCAATGACTTTTTAATATAAAATTCGCAGCTAGATCCCTAATCCTAGGGGAATGGTCAACTATAATACTTAATTTTAAGGCAAGGTTATAATGACGACTTTAATTTAAGTGGCTAGTTAAAATGTCTTAAAATAATTATATTCGCTATTCCATAAAAGAAAAAAAAAAATCAGCCTAAAAATAAATGTCTTGCTGATGAGCAATACCTTGATAGCAATTTTCCATTTTATAATAAAGTCATTGTGCCCGATACACTCTACCAATGTGACATCAAGTATTTGTATATGTGGGTGATTCAAGTATAATTTAAATTGTAACTATCAATAAATATATAATATATTCAATGAGTTTTATTGAACTTTGACTTTAGATTTAATTATGTAAATAATTTAAATTTTAACTAAAATAAAATGAATTAATTGCACTACTTTTACTTATTATTAAATTATAACTTTTCCATTAATTTAAGTTTTAAATTAATATACATAACTAAAATTAATTATAGTTCTTAAGTTATTATTTCATTCAATTATTTAAAATTTTAGACCTTATCTCCACCACTCTATAAAAGAGAGAAAAGAAAAGGAAGAAAATAGTTGTGAGTGAGATGAAGAAAAAACCAGAACTAATCTTCATTCCCTCACCAGGGATTGGACACTTAGCTTCATCACTTCAATTTGCAAAACTCTTAATCAAAACTAATACCAACCTTTTCATCACAGTCCTATGCATCAATCTTCCAAACACTCCTATTTCAGATTCATACATCAAATCAGTTCTTAACTCACAACCTCAAATTCATCTCATTCATCTCCCTCAAGTTGAATCACCACCAAATGAGCTATTAATATCACCACCATGCTACATCAAAACCCTCATGCATAACCTCACACCTCATGTCAAATCCACCATTCAAACCATTTTATCGTCTTCTTCAAACCATGTTGTTGGTTTAGTCTTAGATATCTTCTGTCTTTCTATGATTGACGTTGGAAATGAATTTGGAATCCCTTCTTATTTGTTTCTAACATCAAATGCTGGTTTCTTGGGGTTCATGCTTTCCTTTCGAAACCGTCGAATCGATGATGTGTTCAATGATTCTGAATCCGAGTTGTTAATTCCTGGTTTCACTAATCTAGTACCTTCAAGTGTGTTACCTAATTCTGCTTATAGTAAAGGTGGTTATGAGGTTTATTATAATCTTTCAAAGAGATTCAATGACACCAAAGGAATTATTGTTAATACATTTTCAGATTTGGAACAGTATTCAATTGATGCATTATCTAATCATGATGAAAAAATCCCTCCTATCTACGCTGTTGGACCTTTGTTAGATCTCAAAGGCAACCCTAGTGCTAAGTTAGACCAAGCTCAACGTGATGTTATATTGAAATGGCTAGATGAACAGCCTAATAAATCTGTTGTTTTTCTATGTTTTGGAAGCATGGGAGTTAGCTTTGTTCCATCTCAAGTAAGAGAAATAGCATTAGGACTTAAGAATAGTGGAGTTAGGTTTCTGTGGGCTTTAAAGTCTCCACCAGAAGGGTTTTTAGAATGGATGAAATTGGAAGGTAAGGGAATGATATGTGAATGGGCACCTCAAGTTGAGATATTATCACATAAGGCTATTGGTGGGTTTGTTTCACATTGTGGATGGAATTCTATTTTGGAAAGTTTGTGGTTTGGTGTGCCAATATTGACATGGCCTATTTATGCAGAACAGCAGCTTAATGCTTTTAGGATGGTGAAGGAATGGGGTCTAGCTGTGGAGTTGAGAGTGGATTATAGAAAGGGTAGTAAAGATGTTGTTATGGCTGAAGAGATTGAGAAAGGGTTGAAGAGTTTGATGGATAGAGATAACATTGTGCAGAAGAAGGTTCAAGAGATGAAGGAGATGGCAAGGAATGCTGTTGTTAATGGTGGATCTTCTTTCATTTCTGTTGAAAAACTCTTTGGTAATATGATAGGAAGCAACTGATAATAAATTACTATTTTGTGTTACAGAGTCAAAGAATAAAAGTCATAGTCGTACCTGTAGTATTATTTCTTTGCGAGAATATTTTATATAGAATATTAGATTCAACCTTGAATCATCACATTTTTGTTTTTTTTTTTCCGTATTTATTTGAGTACGCATTATCACTGAAAAATAGTCTATAAAATAGATCAGTACACCTTTCTTTTTACTATCCAACTAAATGTGCTGTCATGCACAAAGTCAACAATATAGACTAGTTTATGAATATTCTTAGATAATACTAAGTCTTAATTAGTTGCTGTTACTTTGAGTTTTTATATATATATATATATATATATATATATATATATATATATATATATATATATATATATATATATATATATATATATATATATATATATATATATATATATATATATATATATATGGTTCACATAGATATTAAAGTATGTTAAAGTGATACAGTTGTATATAAATAGGTGGTCCTCTAATGGGGAGTGTTTCAATGCACAATAATAAACGGATAAATTTATTTAATAAACTATAAAATATATTTAAATACACGTATAAATTTAAAATGAAAAAAAAATTAAAGAAAGAAAAGTTTTATATTTAAAATAAAGAATTTATTTTTGAATTAAAAATAATTGTTCATTAAAATAAAATAAATACTATTCTAGCTGACAGTGACTCGTAAAATATAAGGTTAGTGGCGTGCACCATTATTGAGTGATATTTAATTTGATACAATATAAAATATTTTTAGTGTCAATTTATAATGTGTTACTTAATTGTAAAATAAACAATGATCATATAAATTTAATTATATTAAATAATCCTATAGAAAAGATACTCGTGAGTTGGACATTTGAAAATAAAATTTTTATCTTTTAAATAAAGACAATTGTTGATTAAAATAAAATAGACATTGTCTTAATAATGGTATGTGAAATGAAAAGTTGTGTGCATTGTTATTGAATGATATCCAATTTAATACAATATAAAATATATTTTCATATGCATAACAATTTCAAATGAGTTACTTAATTATAGAATGAACAATAATTATATAAATTATAAATATTGTTTATATATAATAATTATAAAATATTTTTATTTTTATTTTAGATGAATTTTATGTTTTAAAAATTCAATATTTTCCTGTATTCTTCTTCATTAAATTAAAAAAAAATTAAATTTTGTTATTTATAATTAAAAAAATAAAATAGAAAAAAGATAATGGAGAGAGAAAAAATTAAAATTAAAATGTGGGGAAATTTGAAATTTGAATAAACAGAATAAAAGGAAGAGTGACAAAGTTAAAATTAAAAAGTGAGAAATAAATGATGTGGCAAAAGGAGGCAGATTAAATTTTTTAGCATTGGTTGATTATAAATATGCCCTTTTGTTAGTAAAATTTTTTAAAAAGTAAAAGATATATTAGAAAGTTTGGTGCTAGTTTATTTTAATGAATAGATTATAATTATAAAATAATATATTTTTATTTTAGATACATTTTATGTTTTAAAATTTCAATATTTTTTTAATTAAATTAAAAAAAATTAAATTTTGTTACTTATACTTAAAAAATAAAATAGGAAAAAGAAAATGGAGAGAGATAAAATTAAAATGAAAGTGTGAGAAAAAGAAATGTGGGAGAAATTTGAAATCTACCATATAAGAAAATGAAGTGTTCTAGAAAAGCCCTTTATACCCCTGCTAATCCCAGATTGCACCACGCATGCACGCATCAGTTTCAATTGGTTCACGCATGCAACTTCTTTTCATTGCTTCTTTTATTCATTATTCACCTCTACACATATGTATCATTACTTCCTTTTCATTCATTTTTTAAAATTTATTGCACCAATCACATCACAACTTTTTAGTACATCTTATCTCTCACCCTTCTTTAACCTTCTCTTTCTAATTTCACATCATAATGTCAAAAACAACCTCCTCTCTCTCTCTCTCTCTCTCTCTCTCTCTCTCTCTCTCTCTCTCTCTCTCTCTCATTCTCTCTCCCTCTCTTCTTCTTCTTCTTCTTCTTCCTTCTCCCTCTTCTTCTTCCTTTTATTTCCTATTTGTTATTTTTATGTTGAAAATTTTTTGTTGTGGTTGTAGATTTTGATTTTTCATGCTTAACATCATTTCAAATCTCAAAGTTAATCAGGTAAAAATCAATCTGTTCATGGCAATTTATTTCCAATCTTATTGTCATTTTTATTGTTTAAAACAATGAGGTTATCTAAGATGTCCTTGGCTGTGTAAAGCTTCCAAGCTGGTAAAAGACTTGCTTTGTTAGATTAACTCCCTCAAGAAGGAAAATGTGTCTTTTTTGTATGAATTTCAATATGTAAGATCTGTTATTGTCATTTATGTTATTTTTAGATCTATTATTTTTATTTTTTTTTGTATGCATATGAGACACGGTGGTTCTGCAAACGGTTATAGAAGATATGACTAATACGTGTCAAGAAAGATATGAAGTTAGGGAGAAGAAGTGTAACAAGAAAGTAAATGGTTAATGGTGTTGGATTTTATTGTTTTAAGATTTAAAATCCTTTTTATTTATTTATTTTATTTTATTTTTGGGTTTTGGATTTAGAGGCCAAAAGGATTGAAAGCTATGGAAAGTGAATCAGAATGATGATGCAAAAGGGACGATGGATCTATAACAACACACAAAAGTTAAAATACTTTTGAAGTTGGAAGAATATTATGATGATATTTTGAATTGATGATTAAATTCTTTTAAATTTGCTTTGTCACAATATTTTATGATTAACAAGTAAGATATGATTTGGTTTGATCCATTTTAATTAATATGAAGAAATTTATTTTCTCTATTTTTATTCTCCTTCCCCATAATAAATATTTTATTCCATTTCTAACAAGTTATGTTTTATTTTATTTTATTTATTTGTTTTTCTATAACGTGTTAGAAAAAAGAAACTCAGATAATAATCTAAAATATGGTTAATAAATATAATAAGATGTTGGTTAATTGATATCAATAAATGAAACTCATTAATCATGCACTAAAGTTAGAAATATGATGGTAATCGTGACAAATAGGTATAATCATTACTCATATTATAAACATAATTAATAAAATAGTATTTAAAATGTGTAACCATGTTATTTCTGCATAAAATTTTGATGTCAAATTTGTCTCATCATAACACAACTCTTTATGAACATTGGCTTAATGCAAAATCATATATATTAAACTAAAGGTAGAAATATCAAAATGATACTGATAGTAAAAAAGATATATTGTAGCTCAAACTGATCATGTTAGTGCTTAAGCAAATATAAAATTAAACATATTAGTTACTTAGCAAAGTTTCACTTAACTTTTTATATTTTTCCATCAATATATACATAGCAAAATTCAAGCTGTAATTGAAATGAAACTAAAGACATGATTTGTAATGAAACTTATTTTATTTTCACAAAACATCCACTAAACTTTTTAAAATGGTTTCTTGATCAAACTTTCTTATTACTTTATCATTTTTTTCACATGTCAAGTCGCTGCATTTATTGCACACACTCTGATTTTAGTACAGAGTTGTTGAGAACTTTATCACAATCTGTCTTTTCTATTTTTAAAGCAGACCTAACCTTTCCCTTGCTACACAACAAAATAAGTGTCTACCATATAAGAAAATGAAGTTTTTTGGAAAAGCCCTTTATACCACTGCTGGTCTCAGATTGCAACTCGTGTATTCCTTATGTGGCTGACACATCAGTTTCAATTGGTTCACGCATGCAGCTTTCTTTCGTTGCTTCTTTTCTTCGTTATTCACTCCTATAGATATGCCTCATTACTTCCTTTTCATTCATTTTACAAAATTTGATGCACCCATCACATCACAACTTTTCAGTACATCTTATCTCTCAAAATCTCTATCTAACTTTTTCGCTCCCCCTTCTTTAACCTTCTCTTTCTAATTTCAAATCATAATGTCAAAAACAACCCTCTCACTCACTCTCTCTCTCTCTCTCTCTCTCTCTCTCTCTCTCTCTCTCTCTCTCTCTCTCTCTCTCTCTCTCTCTCTCTCTCTCTCTCTTCTTCTTCTTCTTCTTCATCTTCTTCTTCCTTCTCCCTCTTCTTCTTCCTTTTATTTCTTATTTGTTATTTTTATGTTGATATTTTTTGTTGTGGTTGTAGATTTTGATTTTTCATGCTTAACATCGTTTCAAATCTCAAAGTTAATCAGGTAAAAATCAATTTGTTCATGCTCATTTATTTCCAATCTTATTGTCATTTTTATTGTTTAAAACAATGAGGTTATCTAAGATGTCCTTGGCTGTGTAAAGCTTCCAAGCTGGTAAAAGACTTGCTCTGTTAGATTAACTCCCTCAAGAAGGAAAATGTGTCTTTTTTGTATGAATTTCAATATGTAAGATCTGTTATTGTCATTTATGTTATTTTTAAATCTATTTTTTTTTATTTTTTTTGTGTGCATAGGAGACACGGTGGTTCTGCAAACGGTTGCAGAAGATATGACTAATACGTGTTAAGAAAGGTACGAAGTTAGGGAGAAGAAGTGTAACAAGAAAGTAAATGGTTAATGGTGTTGGATTTTATTGTTTTAAGATTTAAAATCCTTTTTATTTATTTATTTTATTTTATTTTTGGGTTTTGGATTTAGAGGCCAAAAGGATTGAAAGCTCTGGAATGTATGGAAAGTGAATCGGAATGATGATGCAAAGGGGACAATGGATCTATAACTACACACAAAAGTTAAAATAATTTGGAAGTTGGAAGAATATTATGATGATATTTTGAATTGATGATTAAATTCTTTTAAATTTGCTTTGTCACAATATTTTATGATTAACAAGTAAGATATGATTTAGTTTGATCCATTTTAATTAATATGAAGAAATTTATTTTCTCTATTTTTATTCTCCTTCTCCATAATAAATATTTTATTCCATTTCTATCAAGTTATGTTTTATTTTATTTTATTTATTTGTTTTTC